CATGCCAGCATTGATTGAACAATCACTAGAGGCATGACAAGCATTTATTGAACAATGTTTCTTGAACAACAAATGAAAAACTGATTTGAAAACTACGGGCCTGAACACAAAATTGTTGCAAAGGCATACGAACAGAAATGATGCCAGTGAAATGCCTCACCATCAAACAAACATTATACAAATTATACTACTAGGATGAAAACAATGAATGAGCCTCGTTTTCTGTGACTATACTTACGAATGGTACAGAGGCCAACATTATCAGATTTGGGATTGGCGGTGACATAGTTGTCAGGACATGCAGTGCAGTTCATAAACAGGTCCATAGTATTGTCTTTGTAGAAACCAATCATACATTCTTCACACATTCCGGCACTGTTCTTCTCATGACCGTTGTCACAGTAGTCTAGATAGCAAAACAGGTATTATTACAAACATGAAAACGAATATGATAATTTGCAAGACACTAAAACTACAATTAAGAACATGAAACAAATAATCTGTGGATAAATGGATTTTCTTCGATGCAGCAAAGGATTTCCAATATGATGATATTGTGAGTACAGGACAAGTTTGGCTAATCTTGTGGAGGACTTAAAGTCGAATATGGAACTAAGTGAAGGCAAAATGTCAAAGGGTGAGGATGAAATCGATTGTCCAGAATATTCCAGATAGAATCGTGATGTTAACGTGTCAAAAAAAGGATAAAAGTAATTTATAATGGTGTTCATTGGAGAAAATATCATATGCATATTTATAATAAAAACATTCAGCAGCATCATAAAAACACGTATCCCTGTCAAATAGTACTCCTCAACAGACATTGACTTCACTTACTTTCACACTGGTTCGAGCTTGTTGAGCCGGCCTGTCTCGTGCTCTGGTCCGTCGCACACACTTCACATGACTGCTGATTGCTTAAAGGTTGGTAGGAGCCTTTGGGACAGATGTCACAGTTGTCGGCAGCTGCATTGGATTTGTACCCAGGTCCGCACTTATCTGATAGCAACAAAACAAACCTTGTTAAATATAGTCATGAGCTGAACAGGTTATAGCTGTTAACGTTGTGAAGGTGTTAGATTTGGGATTACCTTTTATTGACAGAAGGTCGATGAAACAGAGAAAGAGTAACATGTTCAAGTGTTTCCGTTTTGTATACTTTGTGATCTTGTGATTGATATATCTGGTTCGTATCCACCCCATGAAAGTGTGTCTAGTACATTTGGCCGCATAACGATTGTCTTTATTCCATGTATCCAAATAAAATCAACGAGGGATATACAGTTATGACTGTCAAATATTCAAAAACCTGATTTATTCCTTCCA